TAACACGCTAGAGTGCTCACTCTACAGGGGGCTAAGTAGAGTAGAGGCTTAGCTTAAACTCAAGTCCTAGGCACGTGACACCCCACCTTGTAAACAACACGAGGTTAGAGTATTGTGCATGCCTTACCCTTACACATACCTACCTACCTAACCACCCGTCTTCATTCATTGACTTTTGCGCCGCGCGGGTTTTTTTTGGGGGAGGGGTTTTTGACATCGATATCGATATCGATAGCAGCATTACGAATACGAAGAGCGCCAGCGCTACGGGATACGACTGAAGGCGGAGGTTAACGTTACGACATCACTTACATCGAGAAAATCTCCGAGACGGACACTGACACGACACGACACACAAATACATACATACATACACGGCCGGGGATAGGAAGAGGGTTGGAGTTGGAGGGAAGGGAGAATAGAAGATAGAAGACAGAAGAGCAAAGAATAGCTATAGGACGCGATGAGGGTCACGGAGATTATTATCGATGTGAGTTTTTTTTTCTGCGGATTTCCTTGGAGGATGAGGGGGGGCAAGGGAGGGAGGGAGGGAGGGAGGGAGGGAGGGATGGAGGGCTAATGATGGATAGGGCTTCAAATCGTATGCCGTGCGGACGGTGATTTCAGGATGGGACGAGAGCTTCAACTCCATCACGGGGCTGAATGGTAGTGGGAAATCGAATATCCTTGATGCGATATGTTTCGTGCTGGGGATAACGAATATGTCGACTGTGAGGGCGCAGAACTTGCAGGTATGGAGATAGATACACATGGGCACCACCTTCCCCCCCCCAAGGAAGATAGAAATACTCACACTCTCACTCCCCCACCCACAGGATCTAATCTACAAACGCGGGCAAGCCGGCGTCACAAAAGCCAGCGTAACCATCGTCTTTGACAACACCGACCAAAAAACAAGCCCATACGGGTACCAGGACTACCCCCAGATCAGCGTCACCAGGCAGATCGTGCTGGGCGGCACAAGCAAGTACCTCATCAACGGTGTCCGCGCGCAGCAACAAAACGTCCACAACCTCTTCCAGTCCGTGCAGCTCAACATCAACAACCCAAACTTCCTCATCATGCAAGGGCGCATCACAAAGGTCCTCAACATGAAGGCCACGGAGATCCTCTCCATGATCGAGGAGGCTGCCGGGACGAGGATGTTTGAGGACCGCAAGGAGAAGGCGATCAAAACCATGGCCAAGAAGAATAAGAAGATGGACGAGATTAATGAGTTGCTGCGAGACGAGATTGATCCTAAACTCGAAAAACTCAGGGGGGAGAAGCGTGCATTTTTGGATTTCCAGCAGACGCAGAACGATCTCGAGAGGCTGCAGAAGCTGGTTGTGAGTTTTGATTATGTGAGGCACACGCAGCGGCTCGAGCGCAGCGGGCAGGAGCTCGAGGTCAAGAAGCAGCGCGTGGTGGAGCTCGAGAATAACGAAAAGAAGTTGCGGGGGGAGATTAAATATCTCGAGGAGGACGTCAAGCGGGTGCAGGCACAGCGGGAGAAGGAGTTGCGCAAGGGCGGGAAGTTCCAGGCGCTGGAGGATGAGGTCAAGGCAAAGTCGCATGAGATTGTGAGGCTTGCGGCGGTGATTGAGTTGAAGAAGGGGGGGCTGAAGGAGGAGGAGGGGAATCGGAAGGGGGTGGTGGCCACGGTCAAGGAGTTGGAGAAGGCGCTGCAGGAGAAGACGAAGATTTACGAGAAGTTTAAGAAGGCTCATGATGAGGCCAAGGCCAAGTATGATGCGCTGAATGAGGAGTGTGTGAAGAAGGAGGAGTTGCTGCAGACGCTTCTTACTGGTGTGGCTTCGAAGGAGGGGCAGGAGAATGGGTATCAGGGACAGCTACAGGGTATGTTTGGTTCTTGAACAAGGACATGAGAAGAGTTACTGATGGATTGGAAATAGATGCAAAAAATAGGGTCAGTGCGGCAGCTACAGAGCAGGAGCAGGCAAAGCTCAAGATCTCGCATTTCGAGAAACGCATCAAGGAGGAGGAACCTCGCGCTAAGAAGGCGAAGGAACAAAACTCGACATTGATGAAGGATCTCGATGGGCTTCGAGCGCAGGCCAAAAGAATCGAAGCTGAGCTGAATAAGCTTGGGTTACAACAGGGCTCTGAGGAGGATCTACACAAGCAAGAGCAGGATATCCAGAAGCGCATAAGAGAATTGACCCAGCAGGCGGATAACCTACGGAGGACAGTCTCGCAGATGGACTTTGATTATGCAGACCCCACGCCTAATTTCGACAGGTCAAAGGTGAAGGGTCTCGTTGCTCAACTATTCACCTTGGACGAGGATAAGTCTGTTGCTGGAACCGCGCTCGAGATTTGTGCAGGTGGTAGACTTTACAACGTCGTTGTCGATACGGAGGTTACTGGAAGTCAACTTCTCAGTGGGGGTAAGCTGAAGAAGCGAGTGACGATTATTCCGTTGAATAAGATTGTTGCTTTCAGAGCCTCGGCCGAGAAAATCGCTACGGCGCAGAGGATATGTCCAGGGAAGGTCGACCTTGCACTCACACTTATCGGGTACGATGATGAGGTTGCTGCGGCAATGCAGTATGTGTTTGGAAGTACTTTGATTTGCCAGGACCCCGAGACCGCCAAACGAGTCACCTTCGACCCAAATGTCCGTCTCCAAAGCGTCACCCTCGAGGGCGATGTATATGACCCCTCCGGAACTCTCCAAGGAGGAAGTGCGCCCAGCTCCAACGGCGTCATCGTCACCATGGGGAAAATCAACGTTCTCATGAAGAAGATCGAGGCCGAGAAGAAGACCCTAGCGGAGATCCAAGCCTTCAAGGCGCGCGAGGGAAAGAAGTTGGAGGCGGCGAGAAAGTTGAGGCAGGAGTTGGGGCTCAAGAATCACGAGATTGCGCTCACGGAGGGCCAGATTAATAGTAATTCTGCGTCGACGATTATCCAGAATATGGAGGAGATGAGGACGAATATCGCGCAGTTGAAGAAGGATATTGTCGAGGCCAAGGCGAGGCAGGATGCGGCGACCAAGGAGATGAAGCAGATTGAGCGGGATATTAATGAGTTTAAGAATAATAAGGGCGGGAAGTTGGCGGAGCTGCAGGTAGGGATTCTTTGTGTTTTTGGGGAATGGACGGAGGGAGGAGTGTGATGTGTGGTCGGTCTTGCTAATAATCTTTTTTTTATTATTTAGAAATCCGTGGATACTTTGAAGAAGAATCTTGCTAAACAGCAGACTTCGATGAAGGCTGTGCAGAAGGAGTTTCAGACTGCGCAGCTGGAAACTGAGCAAGCTGGAGGAGATATTGCAGCGGCTAGAGAACAGCTTGAGGATGTGGATAGTTCCATAACTGCTGTGCAAGCCGAGATTGAGAAGCTCATTGAGGAGCAAGCTGAAATCAAGGTATGGAAACATGATCACCCCTCGACTAAAGCAATGCTAATTTTACTTCTTTCCTTAGGATGCCCACGACATCTCCCTCGCCAAACTCAACGACGAACGTGCCAAACTCCACTCCTTTGACGGCGAACTCCACGACCTCGAAGAAACCATCCGTAGCAAATCCTCACGGATAACCGAGGAGGGCCTCGAGATGCAAAAACTCGGCCACGACGTGGAGAAGTCTGGCAAGGAGCGCCAAGTGGCCTCGCAACTCGTCACGCAGATGGAGAAGGACCACGACTGGATCGCCGACGAGAAGGAGAACTTTGGCAAGCCCGGGACGCCGTACGACTTTAACGGGCAAAACATCAACATCTCGGAATCAAAAGCCCAGCTGAAATCCCTCACCGAGCGCTTCCAGGGCATGAAGAAGAAGATCAACCCGAAGGTCATGAACATGATCGACTCTGTCGAGAAGAAGGAGGTGCTCCTCAAGGGTATGTTACGTACAGTCAACCGCGACAAGCGCAAGATCGAAGAGACAATCGAGACGCTCGACGAGTATAAGCGCGAAGCCCTCGAGAAAACCTGGCGCAAAGTCACCACGGACTTTGGCAACATCTTTGCCGAGCTCCTCCCCGGCAGCTTCGCGAAGCTTGAGCCGCCCGAGGGGAAAGACGTGACGGACGGGCTAGAGGTCAAAGTCTGCTTGGGGAAGGTGTGGAAGCAGAGTTTAACGGAGCTGAGTGGCGGGCAGAGGTCACTGATCGCGCTGTCGTTGATTCTTGCGTTGTTGCAGTTCAAGCCGGCGCCGATGTATATTCTTGACGAGGTTGATGCTGCGCTGGATCTCTCGCACACGCAGAATATTGGGAGGTTGATTAAGACGAGGTTTAAGGGGAGCCAGTTTATTGTGGTTAGTTTGAAGGATGGCATGTTTCAGAATGCGAATAAGTATGTTTTTTTTTTTTTCCTCCTCCTCGAGCTCTTCCCTCCCAAAACATTTTTGTGGAATTGGTATACTAATGATGTGTCTTTTTCCTTTTGTAGGGTCTTCCGAACACGCTTCCAGGATGGAACGAGTGTTGTTACGGTAGAAAAGGGCCGATAGCTATAGCTAGTAGTGATGTTATGGACATGTACTGTATACCATGAGAATCATGATATTATGATTGATTATGTGCGCATGCATTCACAGTGCACTTTTTGCCCCAAATATACTTGACGTGGATCTTGTCTCCTGTTTTTTTTTGTTTCTTTAAATTTTTGTTTTTTGTACATGTACATGTTGTGGGAGTTTCTCGCGCGCGATTGTCTTGAATTCTTTTTCTCTTGTTATTTTAACTTTTTTTTTTTTTTGGTTATATATCTTATTCTTAGGCCTAGCTATAGGTATCTTTACATTTATTTTTATTTTTTTTATCTTTGGTACCGGTTCTCACTTTTAAATTTTTTTCGAATATTCATTTGACCATGATGTCGATCGTGAGATCTACTTAGTATGTAGCTTTAGAGTACTAGTACATATGCATTGCACTCTACTTAAGTCCAAATCGAATATTATTAGGTACCGGTACACGGAGTATAATTATACCCCCCCACCTGCACGCCAATTCATCAAACCCAAGTCAAGGTGCCGGAGTGGTTAACGGGTTCGCCTGCTATCCTTTCATAGTTAGAATTAGCTAATGAAAAGTACAGTGAAGCGGATGTCTTCGGACGCGCAGGTTCGAATCCTGTCCTTGACGCTTTCTTTTTTTTCCTTTTTTTTTCCTTTTTTTTTTGAGGGGGAGGGGTTTTTTTTTTTTTTTTTTTAGAGAGATGATAACTAGCGGGTTGGATTGGGTTGGGTTGGGTTTTGTGGAAAGCTATTCGGGTTTTTTTCATCTTTTAATTCGCTTATTTTACCTATCCTCGATCGATCGACCCCCAGCCTTGAGCCTTTATCATACTCTTCTGTTCAGGGTTACCCCGCGGGGCCGCATATTCATGAGTCCCTAGGTAAGTAGCTACTTTATACTCTACCCAAGATCTCAACTTTTGCATTTAATACTAATATACACTCCGAGGGAGCATAATACCTACCTACCTAGGTATATAACTATATACTATTCGTACCGAGTACGTATACGTATACATGTACAACCTAGATTTAGATATACCTAAATTGGCAACCCATAGCATGGCATGGCGATGGATAATCGTCGGTAGATTTAAAATGCTACCTAAGCTTAAGATGTTGTTACAGCTGTAGGTACCGAATTGCAAGTAGAATAGCTATAGATCAGGCATCAGGCAGTATGTTATATTATCTAGGGAGGCACTTTGGAATTGCAATTGTGCGTGCCTTAATTATAAGATGGATAAGGCCTTGTACGTATCTTATATTATAAAGGCACCTACTTAAAGTATTATATCCCTATAGCTATGCCTTAAGTAATAGGTACCTAGGTAGGCGCTGCGCTGGGGCTGGGGCTCACGATCATGAAAATGTTGCATTGAATCAATTTCAAAGGTCATTCATTACTTGGGTACCTTGCCATGGCCATGGTAAGTGATGCATGCATAATAATGAAATATAGTAATCCATAAAACAAAAAAAAAAAAAAAAAAAACTACGGGAACCTTCGAATATAATTCGCAGACACCTCGCGATGGTCGAGGAGGGACTGTTTGAACTCCTGATTATATATATAGATAATTATTCCCCACGAATCGAATCCCCCCCCCCAAAAAAAAAAAAAAAAAAAAAAATGAATGAACGATAAAAAAAATAACAAGAAGAACACAGTTCATGATCACATGTAAATTACCTATATGTATATATATATATGTATCATTCGGTAAATAATAAGAAAACAAAACAGCAAGATGATGACCAGAAACAAAAAAAAAAAAAAAAAAAAAAAAATGAAGCACATAAAACAATATTCAGAAAGGGATCCATCCTACGCCCCATTAACCCCCCCCCCCCCCCCCCCCCCCACCCCCCCATTAACCCCCCCCTCCGCGCCTCTTCCTTCCCCTTTCCCCCCGCTATGCCCTCCTCTCAAATCATAACGCCGTGCTAACAGCACTCGAGCTCCCAGCTATGCCTCCTCCCTCCGCACGCTCCTTCTCGGCCCTCTTGGCCTCCAGCTCCGCGCACCGTCTGCGTGCGTTGAGGATCATTTCGTCTCTGCGCTTCTGGTGGAGGGCTGCTCTCTCTGCCTTGTTTTGGGACCAGGGGGTTGGTGATGATGATGGTGCGCCTGGGCCTGGTGATGATGATGATGAAGAAGTGGATGATGCGGCTGCTGGTTCGGAAGCGAGGCGCGAGGTGAGGTTGTAGCGGGTGATCAAGTCCGGGTGTTGGGTTTGCGCGGGTTGGGTGGTTGTGGGTTGGGGGGTTCTGCGTTGTGTGGTTGTTGTTGTGGTGGTGCTTGGTTGGGGGGGTGTTGGTGGCTGGTTGTTGTGATGGGGGGGGTTAGTTTATGAATGGTTTTTATCAAAGGGGGGTTGAAGAGGAAGAGGAAGAGGAGAGGAGGGGAGCTGGGGCAGGGCTTACCTCCGGCAAGTAGCCATTCGCGAGAATCTTCTCTGTTGTGGTCTCAACGCTGCCGCCGTTGCGCTGGAGCTCGTATTTGATCGCCGAGAGCGGGATCTGCGGAAACATTCCGTGCACGACCTCGGCGCGCTGATTGAGGCGGGCGAGATCCTGTGGGCGCGGGGTGCGGGCGAGTGGTGGTGGGGTTGTGGTGTTTGAGGTACCGGTTGTGCCGGGTGTGGGCGGTTTTGGGGCGGAGGAGTTGTACCATCGGAAGAGGAGGTAGCCGAGGAGGAGGAAGACTGCGAGTTGCGGGAGGCCGAGCGGCGCGGAGGTGTCTTCTGGGGATGAGTTGGAGGACATTGTGTGTGTTTTTCTTTTTCTTGTGTGCGGTCTGTCTGTGTCTAGAGAGTTGGAAAGGCGGAGGTGAGAGTTGGTGATTGTGCGAAGTTGAATTGTTCCTGGGGGGGTGAGCTTCGGCGATTGATTGATTGCTGAGTCGGCTTGGTTGGGTTTGGGCGCGTGATGGGCTTGTGCGTTTATTCAGAGGCTCCTTGCTCGCGAATTAGATGTCGGGGCGGCGATGGCGGTGGTGGCGGTGATGGTGGTGAGAGGTGGTGGTGATCTGCTTTGCTCGGTGGGTGTCTGGTCTGATGGTGGAGGTGTCCACTCGCTCGAACAGCTACCGCATATTGATTGCATGTGGCATGGCATGGCATAGTCTCGTGACTAGTATGTGTCCGCGCTTGTGCGCTTGCGCAGCCCGTTGCCGAGTGCCGCCGAGCCGCGCACAGCGAGATATCAGCATCAGACGGATTACTCAGCATGCGCTAGGGGATTCATCATGAAGGCTAGCACTCGCTTTATGCAACTAAGGTGTATTTAGCCTAGCCCGCTCTTCCAGGCCGGGCGAGAAGTTTCGACGGCCAAAAAGTTGCATGCCCGTGGCGGAGACTGGCGGTGATCGTGCCAAAAAAAAAAAAAAAAAAAGTACTTTTTGACTGGTGATTGCAACGACAAAAAGACTCGAGCTTCTGGAGAATCTTTTCACGAACGGAGGATATACATCAATCCGAGGCAAAAGATTTGAGGTCCACCGGGGAAGAAATTGTGAGAGTATATCCGAGTCACGAATATTCATCCGAATCACGAATCCGAATCGGCTCAATTGGCATTGACGTACCCATCCTTGCTGCAAAGTACTTTAAACACACTTTTCCTCGGCTTTGGGATATTCAGATTGTTAAACGAATCCGCTAGCTCGGCAGCGGGAAGGAAGGGAGGAGAAGTAGATATAATAGCTACAGCGCGAGCGAGCGAGAGGGAAGCCGGCGGCAGCCTTGTCGAACACTGCGGAACCGCAATATACCACCACCCTCTCCACCTCCCAACACTAGGCATCATCTTCATTCACCTCCACTTGCACACTCCCCCCACCACATTCCGCCGACTTGCGAGGGCTTCAATTCATTCCACACTCTTCTCCCCCGACCCCCGTACTGCTGTACACATTAATCGACAAAAGGCGAGATGAGCATCCCTGCAGTGAGACTGCTCCGGCTAAGGCCCGTGGTGAATGCCGCTGCGTCATGGACGACCACCACCACCACCGTTCCCTCGACTGGATCGCAGCAATGTCAATACCATACGGCCTCGAAGCGGAATGCCAATGCCCGGTCTACGCCATATCCGACTCGGCCATCGATAGCTGCTCCGGAATTGGGATGCGGCAATACCTCAACTCAGCGTCGGGTGAGAGAAACACCCCTCCATCCTTCCACCCACTCATCTCCCCCCCCCCACTATCACTATCACTATCAATTCGTCCCTTCAGCTAACACCATTCTCAGTCATTTCACGCCACCCCATCTACCCTCGCTGAGCGCGACCCCTACGAAGTCCTCGGCGTCGCAAAGAATGCCGTCGCAGGTGACATCAAGAAGGCATACTACGGCCTCGCCAAAAAATACCACCCAGACACCAACAAGGACCCCTCTGCGCGGGAAAAGTTTGTGGAAGCCCAACAGGCATACGAGACACTCTCTGATCCTAAAAAGCGAGAAACATATGACCAATTCGGGACTACTGATCCTGGCGCTGCGGGATTCGGCGGGGGCCATGGTGAGCCAGGCGCCGGTGGGCCATTCGCTGGATTCGGAGGTGGGTTCGGCTCAGACTTTAGCTTCGAGGACCTCTTCCCCGGCTTCTCTGGCTTCTCGCAGGCCGCAGGTGGGAAACGTGGCGGTGGACGGAAACCCGACGTGGTGATCGGAGACCCAATCGAAGTTCAGACCACAATATCCTTCATGGACGCCGCAAAGGGTGTCTCTAAAACAATCCACACGACCCCAATCATAAACTGCCCATCATGCTCCGGCTCAGGTCTCAAACCCAACGCCACGAAAAAGAAGTGCGGACGCTGCGGCGGAACAGGAACAAGAATGCACTTCCTCCACGGCGGATTCCACATGGCATCAACCTGTGAGACCTGCTCCGGCACCGGCCAAACAATCCCCAAGGAATCCGCCTGCACATCCTGCGACGGCCAAGGCATCGTCCGCGAGCGCCGCACCGTCGAAGCCGAGATCCCCGCGGGTGTCGAGGACGGAATGAGGCTCCGAATCTCGGAAGAAGGTGACGCCCCACAAATCTCGCACCTCACTGGACCCAACGAGAAGCCTCCTCGCGCCATCCGCGGGGACTGCATCATCACCATCAAAGTCCTGCCCCATCACTCCTTCACCCGCCGCGGCTCAGACATTCACTACACTGCCTCGATCCCCATGACCACCGCCGTCCTCGGCGGAACAGTCAAGGTCCCCACCCTCGACGGCGAGGTCGACCTCCGAGTCCCCACTGGCACCAACACCGGCGAGCGCTTCACCCTCAGCGGAATGGGCATGCGCACCCTCAACAACCGCAACCGTCTCAGCAACGCCAAGGGCGACCTCAAGGTGGAATTCAAAGTCACCATGCCCAAATCCCTCACAGCCTCGCAGCGTATCCTGATGGAACTTCTTGCCGATGAGCTCAAGGACCGGACGGCGAGGAGAATCATGAACGTCAGCTATGACCCCGACAAGGCCGACGAGCTGGATAAGAAGGAAGAGAGTAGTGGTAGTGCTGCTTCTAGTACCGGTAATGGCAAGGGAGAAGGGTTTTTGAAGAGCTTGTTCAATAAGTTTACGCATTTACATGAGAGGGCCCAGGCGCAGGATTCAT